TTTTCCTGACCCTTGGCCGAGGTGGTGGATCTATCGATATTTGCTCCTCTGTGTTATATTAATGGCTGCTGTTGCACATGAGGGGACACTCTAACCCACACCTGACATCATGACAGAGGAGCCCAATTACCATTCACAAGGGAATGTGTTTCCATGTGTTCATGTGTGTCTGTGGATCACAAAAAAAGACAGAGAGGAAGAGGGACAGAAACAAAGGCAAAGACTGGAGATGAGAGATAGAGTGCTTGTGCATGTATGTGATACAAATATGACAGGCTCATCAGTCACCAATGGCCTTTTAAAGTGTTCTCCATAGGGACATCTGACCTTTTCACATGATGCCAATAGCAGCTGCATGATGAATCAATCCTGTAAACCTTTGGCTCCTGGTAGCCTCTGTTATCCAGAGTAAATATGTGAGATGACATTCCGCCTGCAGAGACACCTGGAGACTGAAGCCCAAAGTTATGGATCTGCCTTCAATGGTGAGAGGAAACCCATGGTGATAGCAGTAAGATAGAAAGAGGCAATGAACCTCAAAGAGAGAGCTCCATGTGGAGAAAAGTTTTGGATGGATGGGTGGTTGTGTAGATGGATGGAGGTGAGGGGAATTAAAAAGCTATGAGAAGAGGAAAAAGCAAGGAGAGGAAGATAATGGGGTAGTCGAGGTCAGAGAACTGGCCACAACCTTTCCGTCTGTCTGCACAGGATGGATTGGAAGGGGGAGGAAAAAATGGGGATGCACAAGGGCAGCAGGAAGATTAAGAAGAGGGCAGTGGGAGGAGATAGATACTGAGGAAATGGTGAACAGGGCCTGCATTTTTTGCATGTCACGCCTTGTGTGAGTGTGTGAGTGTGTGTGTGTGTGTGTGTGTGTCTGTGTGTGTAGCGATGGTTGAAAGAGGGAGACGGAGTGTGCGAGCGATAGGGGGATATGGAGCCCAATATGATGGGCTAAATGAGGTGTAATGGTGGTAACATAGAGTGACAGCAACTGGGCCAGTGCATTAAGGGGTTAACCAAGGCCAGAAGTCACTGACCTTCCCTTTCCCCTGAGACAGAATTATCTCTCAGTAAGGAACACACACACAGCACACACACATTGATAATGAAGATGTGGTTGCTGGGCTGCTTTATTTTGCCATTCAAGAATGTTATGATGGGAATTTCACCAGCGCTATCACCATTAGAGCAGAGCTAAGGACACACACACACACACACACACAAAAAAAAACACCTTTGGATTTGCCAGCCATGCATGGATTTTATGGTAGGCTGGTGAGATACTCACCAAAACAAAATTTTGTACTGCACCCTTTGGTACACATACAGAAAAATAACCCTTCACAATACTTTCATCTACACATCATTTGTATTTTTTCTTGTTCCACTGAAGTCTTATATGGGAAAAAAAAAATAATAAAGCTGACTGAATTTCTTTTATCTGAAACCTGTAAGTAGTATGTGACAGACAAAACACAGACTAAATCCTCAGTATTTCTTCTAATATAATAATATTCCTGGACGTTACTTTAAGTTAGTTTCCTTATATATGATTTTAAACTGTTATATTAAATGTGATTTAGGCAAAGATTGTTAAAAAAAAGTCCCCCAAGACAACAACATCAGTAATCATGTGTTAGAAACCAATAATAAAATATTCAAAATGAACAATAATGAGATAATGAGTTGTAGGTTACATCTGAATATAACATATAAAAACTTCACCTCATCACTGTGGCTTTGGCTCAGGTGGTAGAGTGAGTTGTCCACTAATCAGTACTGGAGGTTTAATCCCTGAGCCAAATCTTTTGGCCAGACAGTGAAACCACTGAACCCAAAGTGTCTCCCAGTGGCAGGCAAGCACCTTCCCTTGAAGCTACTATTGCTCTCGCTCTCGCTGCGGCTGCGCGCGTGTGTGTATGTGTGTGTATGTGTGTGTGTGTGTTTGTGTGTTTGAGAGAGAGTGAGAAAGAGAATGGGCAAAAACACCGTAGAGCACTGATATGAGCGCAGTGCATTTACCATTTACTACTAATTGAGAATTTAATTAAAATGGATATATGGAAAACATAGTTTGCCATGTTAGTTTATCCAAACAATACACTTATTATTATAAATCATACTTGTATTAGTATGATTCATAAAACATGACTCAATGTTTTATGAATCATACTATGAGAACTGATTGAGATACCAGTAGAAATATTGCTTTAAGTTTGTTTTTAATTGATGTTTGTTTTGAAATTTTACTAACAAGCACTGCTTGCCTTGGTTGTTCTCACAGAATGCATTTTATATAAAAATCTCTCTCTCGCCCCTTCTGGGGTAATATATGTTTGTTCTTCAAGCATAGTTCCTCTACCTGAGACCTCGGTGTTTGAGGGTTCTGTGCAGTATCTTAGCTCTTCCTATGATTGCACGCTTCTGGACAGAAACCTTTGATTGGCCTGGAGCTGTTGGAGTCACTCTTATAGTTTTGACAATTTTTCTGGCTTTTGTTGTTGCCATTCCCATGTCTATCATAAATGCGGTTTTCTGCTCCTTATTGCCCAACACTATTTCTTGTTGGTTGGTCAGCAGTTGCTTGCCTGTCTGGAACTCACCAGGGGTGTTTGGGGACATCTAGTCTGTATGTGGCACCAATGTTCCTGTACACTATGCCACCTGCTTGGTTGTGCCTCTCAGTGTATGCCAGGGGTAGGCAACTCCAGGCCTTGAGTGCCGGTGTCCTGCAGGTTTTAGATCCCACCCTGGGTTAACACACCTGAATCAAATGATTAGTTCATTACCAGACCTCTGGAGAACTTCAAGAAATGCTGAGGAGTCATTTAGCCCTTTAAATCAGCTGTGATGGATCTTGGCCACATCTACAACCTCCAGGACACTGGCACTCGAGGCCTGGAGTTGCCTATCCCTGGTGTATGCTTTCCCAACTAGCTTCTTACATGTTGCTACTATGTGGTGGGTTTTTTCTTGGTACCTGCCTCTATGGGTCTGATGTTTAAGGCCTATTCTTGTGCTGCCATGATCAGAGCCTCTGTACTATCCTTTACATTGACTTTTTCTAGCTACTTGTAGGATTTCTTGACATCAGCCACTTCTTCTGTCTGTCAATGCTACATCCCATGCAGGGGCTTGGTCATCCATGATAGTTCCTCCTCCTGTTGCTCACCGTCAGTCTTCAGCTGTTTGAGGCTTTCTTGAAACAGCTCATATCAGGGGGCCATCTTAATGATGTGTTTGGGGATGCTCAGTGTTTCATCCTGGATTGTGGCTCTTATTTTTACCATTCAACTGGTTTCTCAGCCCCTTCTGGAAGTATTTGGCTATGGATAAGATTTGTGCATCTTTATCATGGTACCTGTTGTGGGAAGCCTAAGTACTTGACGTTGTCTTATATGTTTGCTATTCTACCTTCTGGTAATTCCACCCTTTCAGTCCAGATCACCTTCCCTATCTTGCCAAACATTCGTCCACACCTATGAGTCCAAATGACATCCCGATGACCTTGCTGTAGATCCTGGTGAGGTGAATCAGTCAATATCTTGTTCACTCCCAGCATACAGTTCGATGTCATTCATGTATAGAAGGTGGCTGATGGTCGCATCAATCCTGAATCTGTTTATGTAATAGTAGGGACAGTGCATCACCTTGGTATAATCTTCATTTGTTGATGATTTGTGCAGTTGCCTTGGAATTGGCGTCCAGTCCTTAGCAGTCCAATTGGGTTTCTGATGAATGCTATTAGTGCACTATTAGCCTTGTTTAATGCCAAGCACTCCAATATCCATGTCTGTCATATAGTCTAAGGAGCTTGGAGAGAAAAGCGTCTGGACTTCTTTAAGTTGATTCAAGCAACTTAAAGAAGCAACTTAAAGAAGTCCAAACACTTTTCTCTCAAGGCTCCTTAGACTACCATGACCTGGATGACTGAGACCCTTCACAGATATACTGTCTGTCATATACTTTTGTGTAATCAATCTAGGCGGGGGTCAAGTTGGTCCAATTGATCTTAGAGCCCTGTTGTACTGCTTTATCAACCAGGATCTGGCTTGGTGTTATTTCCAATATCTGAGAGGAGCTTCTATGTTGTTGTGAGGGAGGTAATCGACTGCCGTGATCAGGATTGTTTTGCCCTGTGTTAACCAGTCTGGATGAGTAGCTGCTGTTAGTAGTTTCCTTATTTGTGGTGCTAGGTGACCACTGACTTCTGTTAACTACTTTAGCCAGTAGACATGAATCATGTTAGGTCCCGGTGCTGTCCAGACCTTCATTACGGAGACTCATTGTTGGATGTCTGCCTTTTTAATGTCACTCCGACTCATGGAAGGTGCTGTGATTGGATCTTAGGTCCACCAGCCACTTGGCGCTGGTGTTGTTTGCCATCACTGTTGTAGATATTTTATTGTCCTTCCTTTTCATCCAGGACCTGTGTCTCATGTGCCCATCTTCTTCCTTAATAGTGGCTTCCAGCCTTCTTCTCCATGGGGAACTTTCTCTACATGCATGCTTTATATTATATCCAAGTGCAGCTAGGATTACTGTGGCAATATATATGAGCTCATTGGTTTCAGTGTTACTGACAGTGGGGATGGTGTGTAGAGCAGTGTTCACATCAGCAAGCATCTACTGTAATGGGACTCACTATCAGTATATATATCAGCCTCGATAGTGTAGTGGTAGCAACATTACTGTCATTACTGTCAACACATACAAGGCCAAGGCTGAGAATATGGAATTAATGGAACACCAGCCGACACAATGAGATGCGTTTTATGCAATACGTGACAACTATAAAGCCGTCATCTACACCTGGCCAGAAGCATCTAGTAGCTCAGTTCAATAAGTAAAATAAAACGTTAGATGGATGCTGGGACTGCATTTTTTTTGTATATATAATATTTGTAAGTTTTTTTCAATCTTCTCTGGGATCTTCTCTCTGAGGGAGCAAGACAAGCAGGAAATGTGTTGAAGAAAAAGACACTGCAGGCTTCAGGTGAGAAATTAGAAATATTAGCATATTTATTACAGCGACATGAAAGACATTAAAATGCCTACACCCTTTACAACAAGCAACGCAGAGGAAATTGGCATGGGGACAAATAAGCCTTGTATGATGGCCAAACAAAGAGAGAGAGGAGGACAAAGAGGGAGATAGAGAGAGTGCTAAAAGTCTCAGATGAGAATCACTCATTAACATTTACGATACAGACTTTGTGGAGAATGGATACAAACACTGTATTTAAGTTCAAGCAAACCAGCCCACGTAGCTAACCTTGACATGGTGAAAAGTGATAAAAACCAGGGAGTTCAGAGTAGAAACCAAAATGGTTTCTTCTAAAGTGAGAGTGCTGATGAATAAGTGAGTCAAAAAGAGGACAATGTCAACAATTCACCATTATTTTGCAGGCAGTAACATAATGTTAAAAATGCAAGAGGAATTTGGCACTTATAAAGAAAAGAACTGAAAGCCAATCATATTCATAATTTGCAAATAAATAACAACACTGTGATTTTCCCCGTCCACTTTTACAGGTCTTCAGGTATGACGGTTCTAATAGTATCTACTTAAAGGTATGGAAGTTATGATGGTACAGTTTGAGGGGGCCTCTGGGATGTTATAAAACCAGGGTGTTAATGTGAGGTCACCTTAAGAACACAGATAAATACACTTTACTCTCAATATCCCCTGTATAGGGCAACAAAACAGAAAAATAGCTCAGAAAATAAGGCATCTAAAAGGCCAGCGGTCACGGGTAGTCCGCTAGAGTGAAATCATAGAGTTAGCAAGAGTAGAATGAACAGTTTCAAACTCTGAATTTGCATTTCGTCTGCGGCTTATGCTGAAAAAAGCAGAACAGTTTGTCACGCCTCTATTTTACTAGTTCTAAAACATTGGGGCCAAACAACACAATTAAAAAAGCAACTTTTTCACTGGCAGCAGAGTGGCTCAGATTTTATAACTATCAGGCCTGTCTGGATTTCCCTTCTAGCATGGTGCATGTTACTAATTGTATTTTTGAAATGTTAGACAAACGTAGGTTTCTACTTCAGAATAACAATATGCTGAATCACAACCACCAGGGGCACATTTTATCTGTTGTAGATAACTAATCAATTAAATTTACAGGTTTAGTCAGAGGCGGTACAAAAAATGAAGATAGCTTCTGGGTCCGAAAAGGACTTTAAATCTGATTTTATTTTTTGGCCACTGGGGTTGATAGTGGTGGTTGCAAAAATACTTCCAGTCTTGTAGGAGTTGATAGAAAAATGTCACTCTGCTCTAACCTCAGGGGACAGTTTCCTCAGTATGAGGAACGGTGACTCATTTGAAGGCATACTGAATACAATGAATAGCATAATTCATTATTATTATTCAGAATATGATCACTGGCTAATGACATGTGATTGACAAACCATTAGCAAATGAGAGTGTGGTTTTCCCTCATTAAATCCAGTTTAAAAATGCCAAGTTGATGATGAGGTAAACACACACCTTGGGGCTTCAAAGCAGAACTTCACGCACAAAAGTATTTAAGAGCACATTGGCTACGTCCATCTTTTATACCGTCTATCGCCTTAGCTAAGGTCTCTCTTGGCTAACTGAGTTTCCAGGTGACTTCCAAAGCCACATGTACTGATTGGACATATACATGTACTGGATTTAAAATACCCTGTAACTCCAGAAAATAAAGCAATTTAGTAAGTAAAAGATGTACTTGTTAGCCTTTGAAGTAAAGTCTTGTTACAAAGCTAATAGATAAGCTAACAGTCACAGCTCACTTACATTAGTTCCGACAAACATGCTGCAGAAACCATTTTTTACACTTTTACTCTTTTGCTCTTGACTTTAGGGAAGCAGCATTACCCTTCATACTCTTCACCCTCTAAAAATACTCTTATACCATGCAAACTACTGCAGCATGTATAGAAATGCAATGCTTGACAAGTCTGCTAAGCTCAGCTATCATTTCTAGGGTAAGGAGAGAGCAAATGTTCAATCTGTGATATCAGATCCAAGTTTAAATGGAGGATTTTTCGTGTTAGACTTTTCGTCCTTCCCTCTCTTGAACAAGCATCTTTTTAAAATTGTGTTGTATGCAGTCCAAGGTCAAAAAAGTGCATGTAACGACTCTTTAAGGTGGATATGCAAATGAAGCCAGTGTATCAATAAAGAAAGTCCATTCTACTCATCCTAACGCTATAGAAGAAACTGCAGTCACTCTCACCTGTCAATAAAAGCTGAAGCTTTGCACCATGCTACATTCCTTTGTTCAGACCAACGTATCACCTTCACCTCTGTATGACCCACCCCTGAACGAGAACTTCAGAAATCTCTTTTTCACAATAAAAGTACATCATAGTCATCATCATTGTTATCATTACAAACATTCTAACATTGGAAATCAACACTGTACATATTTTACACTATGATACAATCATATATTCTGTACTTTATGCCACTGTTGGTCCTATGGAGTACCACAAATATTAAAACTGGGTGCAGAAATACACTAAAAGCGGGTTCAGTGCCATTATTACAGTGTACACAAAGAGGGTCCCTTCATATATTACTGTATAATTATTGTGATAGTTATTGTGATAAGCTGCAGTTTCCTTCTAATACAGAAAAAAAATGCTTCTTTAGGTTATGGGTATTTTTTTTTTAAATAGGGGTGTTCAAAATGACAGATACCAGGGAAGTGATAGAGTACAACACGCACAAATCATCTGTCTTTTTTTTAAAAGTCAAATTTACCCTCTTGTGGTGGCACCGCTGAAAGTCAACACTGCTTCTATTTCATTTTGCTGAAAAAGGGTCCAATGCTTCTTTTCATCAAGCAGACTATTTGGAAAACACAAACCACTGTAATTATTCTAACTGGCCTTGTGTAACCATCCAGCCATGGGAACCGATGAAAGAAAACCATAGAGTTGGAATGGTGGGTCGTTATTTAGATGAACATTTCAAAGTTACTGTACATGGCACAACACTGGAAAAACAAGTCATACGTCCTTAACAGTGTCAAGTCTGTCACGACATCTGTCCTGACATCTGTCTGCATCAACTTTGCTCTTCACAAAACACTATAAACTTCTTAACATACCTGAAATACTGGAAGGCAAACTTCTGGGCTGAAGTGTTTGCAACAACACCATACTATAACACCTGTGATAGACTGCTGTTTGGAAAAGACGGCGGAAGAGTAACATTTTCTCTGTGCTTACTGCACCGTAGCTGTTTCTGCTGTATTCTCTGCTGTTAGTTAGGTTGTACTGTAAATGCAAGAGTACTTGCAAACATGCACTGGGTATAGTTTTTATGGAAGTGTGTCTGGGAGCAGTCACTAAGGAAGCCCTGGTCTTGGTCCAATACACTATTTAAAAATGAATCATAGTTCCATCCTATTTGAGCTAGCAAATCTATATCCCTCTCTATCCCTAAAGGTCCAGTTTTTCAGTTCCCCTCTCCCCACACCCAAACATTCATTTCATTCAAAATCTTGGCCTCATTCACTGGCTTTCTGTGTATAAAGAGCAATGCAAGGGGCCACACGCGTACTAAGTAATTACGTCTGTTAAGGTTGAGCCTATAAACCTCACCAACAATACAAACTTTAGGTCCATCTCTATGGTTGTGAGACACACAGCCCATATAAACATATATCTACACATGTACATACCATCTGACCCTTTTTAAACTCTTCAAGGTGAAAACTCAAAGCCAACAAAATGACAGAAAAAACAACTGTACACCTAACAGACAGTGATATTATATTCTAATTTGTTTTTTTGTCATTTCTTTTGTTTAAAGTCTTTTTCCCTCCTGTTTTGTTGAGTTGACACGGTGTGAAATGATCAGGGATGCTTCAGGTGCAGCCTTGCAGTTGGAAATGTGTCTCTTTGATGCTCCATAATGGTGACCGTACTGCTGGGACTCTGAGAGCTAAAGCCAGAAGTGCCCACCAAGGATGGTACAAATGGGGAAACTGCGAGAAGGTGAAGGAGGCAAGCGTCCATGTCGTCTCCATCTTAATGTGTCTCAAAATCCAAGAAGGCCCAAGCACAGAGCTTACATCACAACTCTGTTGCTGTGGGGAAACTCTTAACAGGAGCATCCAGTTTGACTTTGTCTCCTCGTGTTTCTCTAATGTTGAAAGTGTTATACTTGGACGTGCGTCCCCTGGGTCTGCAGGCTCTGCACACTGGACAAAATCTTCTTCTGGTGGCCAGCCAGGGACACTCCCATCTTAGCCAGTTCACTAGATGGAAAACACAAATAAATACAGGCAAAGTATTACGAAGCTATTTTGTTACGAAGAAAATGCATCTGTTTTACATTTAAAATACCAAGTTTCATGTCCAATTCACTGTCTTCACATTCAAATGACACCAAAGTAGATTGTGTTATTACTCATGCTGAGTCTGCACCTGACACTGATGTAAAGGATAGAGTCCAAGCTGACATATCCAGCACTGGAAAAGTTCTCCTTGTAGTGGCCCATCTTGATAGCATCTAACCACTCATCCACTGTATTAACACTGAACTCTGGCGTGGACGGGTCCTCCCTGCTGGGATTAAAAAAAACCACAAATACAAATTCAATGGCTAGAAAAGCAGTTTGTTGTTACTGCCGAAGTCAATAATTTGTGCTTGGACACAGATTCGTAAAAATAAAAACTATTCGCATCAGTCTTGGTTCTGCCGACAGAATCATTATAATTCTGCAATGACCGCAGCACGACAGCCTCAAATCCCCGCTGAAAAGAAAAACATAAACTTTAAACCCAACCATTAGCGGGGAAGTATGATTAATGCTGCCCTCACCCCAGAGCAAGCTTATGTGGTATTACTTATAAAACCCTTGACTTGTTTGCTTGCTTTTTTTTCTTATAAATTGTTAGAAATGATCTATTTGTCATTGCACACTCAAAGGTAACACAATCGTTTTTGCTAAAAGAACTTACAATATTCACTTACATAGTGCAGTATATGCTTTTTTGTAAGCCTGTTTAAGTCTTTTCGTCTTGTTACATAGTTCTCTGAGTCTGCTGTGTTCTGCCTTTTTTAGAGGGGCCTGCATTTGTTTTTTTCTGTTGAGTATGTCGGAGTGTAAAGGGATTGGAACGTCTGCATGCTGTTTTCAGTCTGAGGGTTAGCTAAATGCCTGAAGTTACAAAATGCAAATGCACAAATAATTATATTCAGTTGATGAGTGCAATATAACTGGGGATTAGGGGCATCTACACTGAATGTGAAACAAGCACGCAAGTCTGTATCAATAAATTTCCATTTCATAAATACGGCTTTGTTTATAAAAGATAATAATGTTCTTTTGTGTCACCTCATTTACTGCTTTGCACTTTGTACCTCTACTCTCCTACAATTTAATCCAGGCATGCCAAGATTTATCAGTGAAATTTGCAGTCATAATTCACATCTTTCTCTCACTGACCATACTGAGCTGTTTGCCAGCTCTCTGAGACTGGCTGGGTTTCTGATGAGCTTGTCCAGGATTGTGACAATCTGTGCAAACTTTGGCCTGTCGCTTCGCCCCTTCTCCCAGCAATCCAGCATGAGCTGGTGCAACACCACAGGACAATCCATAGGAGCAGGAAGACGGTAGCCTTCGTCTATTGCTTTGATCACCTGCATGGAGAGAGGTATCGAGTTCTGTGATCAGTACTATACAGGAAAAATGTAAAATGTGCAAACTTGTTGTTATAGATAGGAATTTTACTGAAGACTGAAAAATTAGCTCTTTATCGCTGGCAGCACTGTGTAAGTGCACTAATTTGATTAACATCGAACCTGAGACCGTGTGTTTATGTGTGACTCACATCCTGGTTGGACATCTCCCAGTAGGGTCTCTCTCCGTATGAAATCACCTCCCACATGACAATGCCGTAACTCCACACATCACTTGCTGAGGTAAACTTCCTGTAGGCTATTGCCTCTGGAGCTGTCCATCTGATGGGGATCTTCCCTCCCTGTAAATGGTCCCAGAGGCAGTCAGCATTTATTCACATACTGAATATCAGCCGCTCTGGGCCCACTGCATCGTGCTGCCAATAATAGAGTGAACACTTCAAGGCTGTTGTATTAGCGCTGTAATAAATCAAGATACAGCAGAGTACTGTAGAGGAGAGAAAACAAATTATAAAATGGTTGCTGCAAAGAAGCCTGGTGCAGTGCTGTTTTTAGGAACAGAGCAGGAGAGAGGTTATACACTAAGCAGCGCTCTGCTTTAATATGACAACAGGGGTTAATGTTTGCTCCAGTGTTTGTTCTTATACTTGTCTTTCTTCTGTTATCTTTTTTTTCCCTGCACCGCCGCCCCTGCCTTTGTCGTCGATCCTCAGATCAAAAGGATTCATATAGCCCACTGTATACACACAATAGGCAGCAAGAGCTCTCGCTCTCTTTCACTCTGACACACACACACAGACACATTGTACCTCTATAGGCTCCGTTCAGCTTTTTAACATGCGGCAGCTGCCTCTGCACCACCTAGCATCCCCCATCTCTGCTCGGTCAAAGTCAAATAAAAGGCAAAGCTTCCAAGTCACTCTGCACTGTACTTTTGTTTCCTCCACCTCTGTATACACCTACCGCACCTCTTTATCTCCCCCCTCCTAACTATGCTTACTCCATCCTTCTGCCACCTTCCCCCCTTTCTTTCGCTCTCTGTTCTCTTCCTGGATCATCTTCGTTTTCGGGCTCTGCAACCCCCACCTACTCCCCCCTGCACCCCTCAGTGCCTGCAGCTCTCCATCTACGTCTCCTGACATCAGTAGGAGTTTGTGTGTGATTGCAATAGAGCAGTCAGCGGCTGATACACTCCTCCCAGGGCAATGCTAATGCCATATTAAAAATAACATCCAACCCTTCCTATGAATATGAATAATGCCATTTCCTTGTGGACATTTTAGATGAGTTACTCCGCAGTGGTTTAACTTACTGACATTTAAGTTTCTCCATTCTCTCCGAGCTCAGTGAGAGGATGCTCTCGTTGCCAAAGACTGCTGTGATTTGACTTGACAGCATAGGTTTATGTTATTGGCTGTGAAAGCCTTTGTAGAACAATGTTCAAAACACACTTGCCCAGTGCAGTATAGTGTGAAAACGTACATTCAAGACATTGTCTTTTTTCTTACTTATTAAAGCTTGAGCTTGCATCCTTGAAGAAAAGGGCCAGTGAGGTCACTGCTAAGAATACTGGGAATGTGGAGAGGCAGAGTGCCCACTTTGCATCTAAGACTGTATTCCGGTTGCACACCGTGCAGTAAAACTAATTTGAACTTCCTGAAAGAGGAAATCTCAATAGTGACAAGTGCATGAAAGCTTTTCCGTCTACAGTGTTTTGCCTTAGCTGGCTCCAGCTGCTGTTATGACAGCAGTACACTGTGAGAGTGTGTCTTACCCTTGTAGTGTAGGCGGCCTCTGGGTCGTCCTCCAGAACTCGGCTCAGGCCAAAGTCGGACACCTTACACACTAGGTTGCTGTTCACCAGGATGTTTCGAGCTGCCAGGTCTCTGTGCACGTAGCTCATGTCTGACAGGTACTTCATACCTGAAGCGATACCACGGAGCATGCCGACGAGTTGGATCACCGTGAACTGGCCGTCATGTTTCTGGAAGGAAGACCAAAGAGAAAGGTTGATTGAATTGTGCCCAGTTCCAGTATTTCTGTCCTGGGACTCCACTAGAGAATCTTTACACGAGTCGCAGTTCAGCGTATCTTTATTCATCCTTGTTTTTCTTTTACTGGCCATTTATGCAACCATCAGTTTATCCACTGTTTTAGCTCTTAATGCCTTTAAAAGCCCACTTTCTTCTGATTGGTAGGCTTTGCTGAAACATTTGTTTTGGGGCAGCATTAAACTGGTAGATCCATAATACTTGGATAATATTCCCAAAAGTAAAATTTAACACAATTTGTCAAACTTTGACAAATGGCAACTTTTTAATATTCATCCCTTCATGTTCAAATAATACATCCTATTCATAATACGAGCAATGTGTTCAGTAAATTCCATTGCTTACCTGCTCATTGTAAATCATGACAGCCCCACACAGGCTTAAATGTCAACTGAAGTGGAAAACGTCTGCTGTCAGAATATATGAGTAAAATGTTATTCTGTGGTCACCAAATGACCAGTAAGCCCCAGGATTTGAGCTTCTGCAGTGTCAGCAATACACGCTTAGCAAATGTCCTGGTGTAAGGCTGTGAATCTCTTTTAGATCCAGCTAACCCCACAGTTTAACCTCCCTTTGGAGCATGGCAAGCAAAAGATGGATGTCGCCTTCCAGGGATCAATGGAGGATCACATAGAAATCCAACTTGCAGAGGATTGGACCTGACAGAGGAGACAAAAGTTTCCTCTCAAACGCTGACCATGTGCCCATGCAGAGCTCACTGGATTTCAGATTTGAGCTGTCTTTGGCAGAGAGTGGAGGCCGTTGATCGATGATGGTCCAGCTCACCTTCCTGTGCCAATTATTTCTGCCCTGGGCCAATGGTCCCCGTTAAAAAACCATTCATGTTATCAGTCACCCTCTCTCCTTTATATCAACTCTCCTTCCTCTGTCTCTTTGTTCTCTCCATCCATCTTTGTCTCTCCTCAAGACTGTGTCTCAGAGAGGGAGAAACTCTGTAATACTTTGACTCAGTCTCGATCTCTCCATCCATCTTCCTTCATCTTTCTGCATCTGTGCCTCCCCTACACCCTCTTCCTCTATCGTTTCTTTCTCTCTCTCTCGCTCCCTCCCTCGGCAGCTGTGGACTAAGTTAATTAGCTGGTGGTTTTGTGAGATGCTGATTGATTGGACTGTCTAACAAACCTACAGACTTCCTCTATCAATCTGCCCACCACGTTGCATTGCCAGTAAAGAGGAGGAAGAGTGGAGAGGACAGGGAAAGAGAGATGAGACAAATGCAGGCCAGAGTGGCTGACAATGAGATGAATGAAAGAGATGAGAGAAGCAAGAAACGGGAATATTAGGCTAATTTGGGCATGTTATTTTATAATAATATATATTTTTTTGTTACCTCAAAAAACAGAACAAAAAAATTAGGAACGTAATGGACCGTAAACTATAACCAACTATAAAGATGACTCCATGTTTATACTGCTCCCTGTGGACACGTTTAGGACCCTCGCTACAGTACATGCTCTCACACAAAACATGTGGCTGTGTGTGGCAGTCACACTGTGCCTGAGCCATTTTTTTTTTTTTTTTTACTGTGTTTTGCTTCAGTTTGCTGCCAGGATTGGTGTCTATTAAGCAATGGGCCTATCATCACAGCCTTAATGGCTCTAAGCACTGCAGTGAATTTACTGCCTGACAAACGACACCGAATCTAAATCTGTTCAGCTCGGTGTATGGAAACCGTGATTCAGCTAATTTACTACACAATCTTTACTACTACTCTTTGTGCTTGTAGATCACGATTAAACCGATACATTTGAACATTTTCATAATGCTATCTTTGCCGTCTGAGTAGTTCATTCAAGTATTCAATCGATTAAATAAAAATATTCACACAGAAATCTGTTACTTAAAGTTAAAACAGAAGCCACCGCTACAGTTTCATTGTTGTTTTTAATTTATATCCTGACAGAGCAAAATGCACAAAAAGCAATATACTTTCTTTGTTTTATTGCCTACCAGTCAGCATTCGGATGCGGTTTTCCCCTCTGGAATATGGACTCTAAGTGCATTTCATTGACCGATTATCAAAAACTGTGTGAGGAAAATATTACCCATCTAAATGTTTCAGTTTGCTTTGCTTTTCCCCCCCACAGTGTTTGTGTTCGTGCTCATAACATGACTATAAACCCTTCTTAAATTCTCTATATATTGTACCCATGACGACAGTGATATTATCCACCTTTAACTGTACCATTAAGTGAAAATGTGTCTTTTTTTATTAAAAAAATGTCAGGTGTTTCCCACCTTTTACTCGATAATAAAGAACATAATAATTTTAGATTCTGCACAACAAAAGCCTTTATAGATATTTTGTTGAAAACTACTTCAAATAATTCCACCAAAGTGTTGGTGGAATTAATTCTTCAGCTTTAAGAGATGAACAACAACTTAAAATTTCAATGTCTCTTCAGCTGGGACATCATTTTCTTTGTGGCATCTGTAAAGACTCGTGGCCCTGACCTTGGAAGAAAAGATGTATTCCTTCCAGCTGAGCCGTGACTCACCTTGAGGAAAGTGTCCAGAGATCCATTTTCCATGAACTCCGTTATGATCATCACTGGCTTACCTACAGAGGAACATTACAAGACAGCTGTTAGTAAGGCTGAGTTACAAGGAAGAAAAACACAAACTATAAAGAGCCGAGGACAGAGAGGAGGCAGAGTCCACAGCTGTGACCAGCCGTTCCCTCCGTCTCCGTCTTTCTCTAGGGAATAGCATGGCATGTCGTCATCAGTCACACTGACAGCTTCTAATCAGCCCTCTCCATAAACGCCAGGAGATAATTAGAATAGACCAATCCACCAGAATATGTGTGTGTGTGTGTGTGTGAGTGAGTTTAAGGGGGCCTCCTGAGATCTCATGAATACTAATCAGCCTCAAGGGAAGGGGGTTGTGGTTGGATCGCTGTGCACCTGCACCTGCATGAGTGTGTATGTGTGATGAAGGCGTGTGTTGACTGACAGGCCCTGTGCACTATGGTCCCCTGCATGGCATCTGGTGCGGCTTACAAATGATTAACAAAGTACCTGCAATCACATACACACCCATGCACACACACACGAATACCAAAAACTGCAGTTGTCCGTGCTTTAAGGGGGTTTCTACCTTGGTACCACCCCCTACAGCCGAGCTTTGCCAATCACAAACAAACATACAATGTGCAGTTACAAATGACTGTGCGTATGTGTATGTTGGTGGGTGTGTGAGTAGCTTGTAAACATGATGAATAGGTCACGTTTCCCAAATCAGGCCTCAGAGATGCTGGGAAAAAAACCCAAGGGAAAGATAAATGAGGGAAAAAGTATTTTAAAAAGAGTCTTTCTTTCTTGCTTGCATGCATCGAAGTACTTAGCTCAAGTAAGTTCAAGAAAGACAAAAACCATTGGATCAGAGAAGATGGGGAATGATGGAAGGGTGGGGTCTGAAAGCAATGAGGAGACAGGAGGAAAAAGGAGGAAAGGAAAGTATGGATGAGCGAGAGAAGAGAAAGATAAAGAAGAAGAAAGGGAAAGCAGGGGAGAAGAGACGAGAGGGATGGTGGGAGGATGGGTCAAAAGCATGTCGTGAAAAGGCAGGAACAACACCACCGAGGCCTACAGTAAGATTGTAGGTAAAGACAGCAATACATCACCTTAAATGAATTCAGTATCTCACCACAGCAAACACACACACACACAAACAGAGTCGGCCGGTCTCTGGTGGTGGTGTCTTCTTTGACAGTAACATTAGTCTCAGGGATAAAAGTGAAAGAGAATTGGATTTTCTTCTGCTGGGGGTGAGGACTGCTGGTCACATTTATCTCCACACGGGGCCTGTGTTGTGTGTGGCCTGTCGCTGTGCTTGTGTGTGTGTGTGTGCGTGGGTGTGTGAGAGAGAGAGACAGAGAAAAGGAGAACTGAACTCAGGGGTGAGACAACTCAATGATGACTGTTTAATTTCAGCTCAGATCATAGGTGGAGAACGTACGCGTGCGTCTGCGCATGTAAACGCAGCACTGGCAATAATCTGATCCTGAATGATGACTGAAAGAAGTGCTGACTCTTCATACCGTTTTGTTTACCTGCACGAGATGTGTTTGTTTCAGTTTTTGCGAATGCTTAACTGCACTTTGTTGACTGCATAAACGTGAATGCATGTATGTAATTCTGCGACAAGCATCTGTGCTTATGGTATTCTACAAAGCAGACAGCCATGAAATGGAAAAGAGCTGTAAAAAACTAACCCTAAAAACCAATTATGTGTTTGAGTGTGTGTGTGTGTGTTACATGGGTGTCAGCAGCATGTATGTATGCTACAAGTGAAGACTGCCCTCAGGTTTGCAGTGTTGGAAGCGGTCAAGAGTGAAGCACAATGAAACACATTCATCCTTTTGTCTCTGCCTTGTGGGCCGTGTTAGCCTGGCATGTACTCACACACACACACACACACACACACACACACACACACACACACACGGTCTAATTGACC